TTTTTTGCGGAACTGGGGATTGAACTCAGGCCCTTGTGCTTGCCAGGGAAGCACTTATTCCACTGAGCCATCTCCCCAACCCCTATAAAATAATATTATAAAATATGTCCTGTATTGTATTGTTCCCCTTGCAAAACCCCAAACCACAAGAGGAAAGAGTACTAGGGAAAAGCAAAGTAAAAATTTACGCATTTCACAAGATGAATATAACTACAGTATAGTGAAAATATACACAAAAAAGATGAGATCAGAAAAACAGAAGGACAGTTTCCAGTAAAGGGCTGTAAACAAACATTTTTATGAGTTGTGTCTCGTTTCATTAATGGTATGTGCTGTTAGTCATCACCTGCATCTTACATTGCAAGGAAAATACTTTCTTTGTGAATAATCTTTCTCTTTTTGTATATATGTATGTTACTACATTGCAAAGGAAAATACATCTCTTACTGGAAAGTTACAGTCATAACTGTATGTGAAATAGTTGTGAGCCCTTACAGGAATTTAGAGGTTTACTGTGAAGTCTCAGGAAGGTTTTAGGAAGAAAATACCTTGATTGGTTTATGTTTTAGAAAGGTCTTGCTAGTAGAATTGCACAAAACAGAGCAAGGAGACAAATGTGGAGTGTGCAGCATGAGTAGAAGTTATAACAGGAAAGGAAAAGGAAAATTATGAAGACCTGAGCTAATATGCAAAATGAGATGATTGAGAGAAGTATGCCAGTCAAAGACACGGTATGGACATAGATATGACTGAGTTTGCAGACAAATTATAGAAATAAAAGGTAAGAAAATGAATGAGTCTGTGGGAAAAGATTTAAATTGAGATTCGACATGTTTGAATGAATTTTCTCTTCAGAATACTGATGGAACAGGTTAAGATTTACTTGTCCTGAGCCAGAGAGAGAGAGTTTAGTGTAAATATTCTTGATGGAGAGCCATCATTGTATAAGTAGTAGATGAAACATTGAAGTGTTGCAAATAACTTTAACAAGGAGAGTAGAGTGAGGGAGAGTAAGAGAGAAATGCTACTATGCATGGAGTTTATCAAAGAACCACATGGTAGAATGAAAAAGCAAGGTATGAGTGAGTCAAAATGAAAAGCAGGACAACATGGTGTTAGGGAAACTGGTGAAATCAGACATGTAAAGTTAAGATAGTATCAATGTCCCATGTTATAGGCTATCACATACACTAATGATTTATATGATGTTGAAGGAAAAGATAGTTATTTGTGTTATCTACTGTGGCAAGATTGAAAACATTGCCTTTATTCCAGAATGGATGCAGAAGCGGTTCTCAAAGATGAGTGAAATTAATCTAGAATGTAAAATTGCATGGAAAATATTCCCTTTCAGCTAAGAAGTGAGATTTTTATGAGATACTTTATATTGTATGGAACTGAAGTGATGGTATAGGGATGAGAGTGAACTTGAGAAGTAGCATGAGTTAGAAAAGAATCTTAGTTCCCCACGCAGAGATAATCATCTAAAACATCGAGTATTTATAAAATAATTGATGACAGACATGCTATTGAGCTCTTTATGATGTCCATGTATACTTGAGTTTTCCATCTTTATTTTTCTAATAATGAATTATTTCACATATATGTTGTGCCACTCTGTAGATCTAGACAGAAAGAAGGTTCTAATAACCACTGGAATGAATGTGAACAGAAATGCTCTCAAATTACTGAATTTCAATTATAATGTGATTTTATAAAATTTCATCCTAATGTTTAGAAAAAAATAAAACATACAAATTTTAGTTAAGATATTTATAGATGTATGTATTTCATTATCTTGTAGAGTGAGGTTGGAAGGTCGTCCTGACACAAACTTGAATATTAAAGCTCATGTAGTTGACCAGATTATTGAATTGTTAAACTTGAATGATGAGAGAAAATTGGAATGCATACACTTTGGCTCTGTTTTTTTTGGAACATCAAAAATTGAACATGCACTTCTATATAATAATAGCCCAGAACCTATAAGTTGGGTTGCAATAATGCAAAATGATTGTGTTGGAGAAGAGTTGGTAAGTAAATGATACAACACTGATATAAAGGGTATTAGGCCTTGAGGCAAATTGTTTTGATTCCATTGATAACCAACACACTGATTAGTTATTCTAAACGTATTTTAACATGGATATATAGAGATGGTTTCATTCATGTCCAAGGGTAACCTTAAATATTCAGTAAATTAAGGTAACATTTATAGTAATATGTAACTGAAGTAAACCAAATAAGTGTTTCTTGTAGGTCAGTGATTAATTGTGGGGATTTCTATTTTCATTAATTTCTCAACAGTTCTTTAAATTTTAATATGTGACTTAGTTAAATTTAGGTGTGTATCACTTTAAAGACAGATATTTTCTGTTTTCTAGATTCTGACATTTTAATAACTATTTTATCACTAGTCAAAATATTTTTGTTTGCTTTGCCTTAATTTGATTTTATTTCTGATTTTTCATTACAGGGCTCAAATATTCAACAAAGAACAGATTTTGCTTTAAATAATCTCTCCTTTCTAGACAAAATAAAAACTATAGATATTACCACTATTTTCTCTTGTGCTCCTAATGAAGGAGTTTTACTACCTTATGAAAAGATTATAATTGCAGTTTGTTTCAGCCCAAAGTAAGCAAAATTTTATATCATTTTTATGTTTAGTATTAATGGAAATTGTATTAACTGTACTTTAACTATATTGAGTTTAGTATCATAATAAAATTGCCAGAGGCACATTTTTATTATTGTTTTCAACGTTTTTGCCATAACTAATATCATTTACAATATTTTTTGTATGGTACTAAATAGTTCAGGTTACATTAAAATATTTTCCGGACTTCATGGAATTGGAATGGCCAAGTACAAGTTTGTGGCTGTTTGGGATTGAGGTCTCAAACCAATCTGTACAGCTATGAACTTGTTCTTGCAGGAATACTCAGGTGAATGCAGGATGTATTTTATATTTGTTGCTGGAAGAGCAGACTTCTTTTTTTTCTCTGTATTTAAGACAGGGTGTACAAGGTGTACAGGGTATCACTGCGGAGATTGGACTTACAGTGATTCTCCTGTTTACAGCCTCCCAAGTGCTGCTATTACACAAGCTCGCCATCCACAGCTCATCTCAATTGCTGTCTCAGTGCGACCCGGAGGTGGGGCCAGCACGGGACTCAAACTCCCTGCCCATCCCCCTGCTCGCAGGTGCTTTAATCAGCTGAGCTGTTTGGCAGGCCCTAGAAGAGCAAACTTTGTACACAGTGACAATGCCTGTGATGCAACTCATGCCTGCCTTTTGTCTCCTACTTTCTCCATCTCATCCATCCTTTCCTGTTCTTTTTTTTTCCCATAATTTTATTGAGAAACAAATAGCAATGAGACAGTTTCAGGTTCACACACTTACAATATTTCCTGTTCTTTTAATAAGATTTTAATTCTTAAACAAATCTTATTCTCCAAATTATTTGTTGTTCACTAACAAAAACTTGGTCAGCAGAATGCCTTTACTCCACCAGGGAAGATAAACATGAACTGACATATTCAGTTAGTCTCAGAAATAAAATGAACTGTAAAAACCATAGAGAAATGATCAGGTTCCTTATCCCACAGTGAATTTTTCCTAGAGAGAAAATCCTTTATGAAGAAAGTGGCATTTCAGCCAGATCTGACAACTTTGTATATTAAAGTTACTCTTGTCATGGAAAGGTTTACATGAATTCATTAACTTTGAGCTTTATGCTTTGTGATCTTCTTCTGTCAAGTTCTATATCTGTTCAGTAATTCTTAAGAATAGATAATGGTTGTGATTTTATTTATTTATTTTTTCTGTATTTTAGAGAAGGGTCTACAGGGTCTATAGGGTCTCACTAATAGATCAGACTCATAGTGATTCTCCTGTTTTCAGCCACCCAAAAGCTGGAATTACAGGCGAGTGCCACCATGCCCAGTCTCACTTGCCATCTCAGCGTGCCCCAAGGGCAGGGCTGGCACAGCAAGCCCGGGATTGAACCTCTGGTCCCTGCACCTGCTTGCAGGCACTTTAATCCACTGAGCTATTTGGCTGGCCCTATGATTTTATTTATTAACTTTCATTTGTTGCATACACTTAAGGACTGGACTGATATTTTATTTTGAGAAGTGATAAAGTGTATCATTTTTGCTTTAAAATTAAAAGTGATTAAGATGTAATATGTATATGTACCAATGCCCCAAGGGGAATATAGCTACTATGGATAGCAAACATATACTGCTAATAAAAAAAACTGACTGTTATTTTTTCAGACTAATAGCTGATAGTAAAATGGATGGTGACCCTTCACACAGGCAAGATTATGCTGTCTTCTTGAGATTTGAGACTGTGGGAAGTAAAGATGGAGTGTTGAGGCATGATACCACTGAAACTGTCAAAAGTAAGCATAAAGTTAATGAAGTAATTAAATGCATTAAATGCATGGTAATTAAAATGCTTGAAGTTTTGATCATTCATATTTGTAGAAACAGTTTATTGAAGTATGTGATTATTAATTTAAACAGAAATGCAAACATATTCAAGTGATCTTAATATGTCATCTGTAGCATGTTAAAAATGAAGTCAACCTTGGAATCAAGTTTTATGCTTTAGAATTTATATGACAATACTTTTAAAATGGCATTAGATAAACGGGATTTAGAGTTTGAGTAATAAAAAAGGCTTTATTTTATTGATGTGCCTGTTTGTTTTTAGCACTTGGTATAGAAACACAAGACCCATTCCATCTCTACCATACTTTTAATGCATATATATATATATATATATATATATATATATATATATATATATATATATTCTATTTAATAGAGTTTAGCAACCTGTTATAAGATATTGAATAATGTATATGTTTCAGACCACATATCAAAGTGTGTTATGCTTCTTACATTCTTGGCTAATAATGAGTTGGTTCTAGTGAAAAAAAGAAGTGGAATAGGAATTGGAGTTACTTTAGCAAGATGGGTTTAAACAGAGAAACAGGCCATTTAGGAACCAAATTCATAAAAATTACACATTTTATGGAGAGATAGGTGCGTCCTAGGAACATAGGAAACTTTTAAGTTAAGTTAAAGTCTATTAAGTACAAAAACCAGTACAAGTGACATCTAGCAAAATTTAACTGTGTTAGTAGGTCAGAAATTTGTTGCTGTTACCATTTACTTTATGGTGTATGACATTGATTCATGTCTTCAGGTGAGAGAATAGTTGTAAGAAGCACATGGTAAGTGTAGCTTTGAACAGAGATGGAGAGGCCAGATTTGCCTTAAAGGTAATTTAGAGATTAGAATTGAAGGGGGAACCACCAGCAAAAAATGTGAACTTTTTTGAGTTCTAGTTACATTGCCCCCTTATTTCACCCAACTACTGCCTACAGTCATTAGTTTGTATCATGTCCTACTGTCTGAAACATTTTACATTTATATTTTTTCCTAGTTTATATTCCATTGCCCATTATTTTAGATTAATTTTAACTTTTGGTACTGGGAACCGAACTCAGGACTTTGTGCATACCAGGCAGGTGCTTAAGCTGCTGAGGTAAGACACCAGACCTGTCCATTATTTTAGTCACTCTTTTTCTTGTACATTTACATTTTTGTCCCATATCCCACAGTGATTAAGTAGAAAAAAGTATAACCTATTACATTTAACTTTCAGTCTACTCTGGATTGGCATTGATATCCTGGGTTTAAAAACATACAACAAAGCAAACGTACTTTACATCTATAATTACTAACCCTTTGTGGCTTCTCTGAAGTGTTTGACCTTCCTACTTCATTCCCCCATTCATTCTGTTTCTCACAGTCTCAGATGAATATAACACACCTTCATTCTTTCCTTAAGCCTCCAATCTTTTCTCTTTTGTCCTCACTTTGAGATTGCAAACACATTTGGTATTGACAGTAGGGTATGTACTAGACTTGTCAATCAGTTTGAGCGACATGCTTGAATAGAATTGTTACTTTCCCTCAAACTATTTCTGTTTTAAGAAATTACATTTGCAATATTTCACTTACTCAAGCCAAAATATATAATCTCATTGCATATTACCTATTCATGTTGCAATTCTCCATAAAATTTTTCAGAAAATCTTATTTCCTCTACTCTCAAAAACTTATCCATTATCTGACCATTTCTCATTAGTCATTTACTGCTCTCCTGTAATCATACTTGGTTCCATAGGTTTTTTTTTTTTGAAAATGCGAAATAAGTTCCATTTGTAGATCCCTTGTCCTTGCTTTTCTGTCTGTGTAGGATAGACTTTTCCTGTTACATCACATGGATTTCTTTCAGATTCCCTGTATATCTTTTCTCAATGTCTCACTATAAGAGAAGACCATCTCCACATAAAATGATGTCCCCAAGAACTTGTATTTTCTTTGTCTTCTATGATTTTACCTTTACCAATAAGGACCATTTTCTATGAAATACTATGAATTTACAAATTTAGTTTTTATTATCAATACAAGACTGCAATGTCATTGAGATCAAAGTCTCCTTTCTTCTCTGTTGTATCCTCCAGTCTAGAAGAGTACCTCACACAGAGAAGGAACTCAATAACTTTTGAATGAAAAGATTGAATAGGTACCAATTTCTGCTTAGGCATTTCAAATGATATTATGTGAATTAAGAAAATATATTATGGATTCCTCAAAAATCTTTTATGTTCAATAGCTATTATTACTTTTTCAGGTGATCAGTTTCAGAATGTTGAATTAGCAATGACAGGCTCAGGATTTCCTGTCTTACTGCATTTTGATCCAGACAAATTCTTCAAATTTTTACCTTGTTGCATGGGTGAACATTCAGACATTGTTTGCATGGTACAAAATCAATCTCAATTTCTTCCTGTGACATATCGTTTCCCAAAAATTGCACATTTTAAAGTTGAACCTATTAGGGGAAAGATCAATGAAGGCTGTATCCAGGTAAGATAAGTTTTATTTATTTTCTTTCCACATTGCTTTAGACATTTTTTAAGTCAGCTACCTTGCTGGGCAGAGTATTAAAAACACACTTGTTCTACTAATGCTTATAAAATATACCTCTTATGTGGCCTGAAATTAGTTATGAATACTTTTGTATATATTGTCATAAATAATCTGTGATTGTTAAGTACCTGTCAGGTGTCAAGAAAGTACTTGAAATTCCAGGGAAGTTAAATAAGTGCAAAACATAGTTATTCTTTCTAAAGATAATTTTAAAGTGTTGAATATTTTAAGACATATACACAAAAATATATGACTTTGAAGGCATGTAGAACATGGTAAAATAGAACCATATCACTGTGATATAGAAATCCAGAGAAAGAACAGTATTTCATTATTACAACTAGATAGAAAATTATTAATAAAAAATAACATGAGCATGGCCTTGAATGTTGAGTAGAATTCTGAAATATGAAACTGGTGATACTTACACAGCCCAGTTTTTGTACCACTGGGACAAAGCAGAAAAAGAAAACACCAAGACATTGCTGTGGGCACCAAGTCAATTTCCATATATCAGTGATTATTTTACTTTTAACTGCTACTCAATCAGTTCTTTCCCACATCCTCCAAACCAGCCATTGGAAGGCTGTAGTCTGTAGACCAAATCTGTCTTGATGCCTCCTTTGGTAAATAGTGTTTTTGGAATATAGTTATATTTACTTGTTCACCTATTGTCTAAAGCTGCTTTGATGCTAAAATGATAGAGTTGAGTAGGTGAGAAAAGACTGCATGGCCCATAAAGTCTATTATTTTTTTCCCTTTGGTGCTACAGATTGAAATCGGGGGTGTGTACATGCAAGACAACTGCTCTACCACTGAGCTTTACTTCTGGCCAAGCCCCATCAGAAAAGCCTAGAATACTTGTCTTATAATCCATAGGATTTTTTTTTCTGACCCCTACTCTAAATGTGGCAAACACAAGTGCTTTCAGTTTTATCTTTTTTTTTTTTTTTTTTTTTCATTAAAAAACCCTTTATAGTCATTTCATGTCTGTCAGAAATCACAGAAATTAGGCAGAAAAAAACCCAAGGGACGAATACAAACAGCACAGCGTTTCCCCAAAAGTTCCCTGCCCTGCGGGGGCTGGGAAGAGCCAGGGCCTGCGGATGACAGCACGCCTCGCCCAGCCGGCCAGCTCAGCTGTCCTCATCCAGGGACTCCGAGTCCAGCCGCGCCCTCTCGTGCTGCTGCCTCTCGCTTCCAGGCCTGTCCAGGTCAGGGCCCTCCTGCAGGTCGGCATGCAGGTCTTCC